ATCAGCATAAGCGACATCAAAAAAGTTGAAGGAAACCATCCCTACCACATTTCATGTTACACAAGAAACGTGATCGTGCTGGTAAAATCTAGCATCGGTTACGATTTTAGTCGGTCGACTAAGCCGCTCTGACCGACTGGCATCGACTACGGCTATAGCCGTCGGCTAGGCGACTAAGCCGTAACCGAACCCATCCCTACTGCTGCTACTGCTTCAGTGCTTTTACATGCCCAGAAATGGGATGATAAAGCTTTCAAATTTTTGGAAAAGATGATTTCAAAATGTCCATCTTATGCAAAAGGTCACGGCCTCGTTCCTACTGTATGCGATGTAGGATTATTTGAAACTATTTGGATGATGCAATCTATTGTAGAATTATGTCTAAATATTCGGGGAGACAAGAAAATTAACCTCAAGCATATATCAATAAAAAAACTTTTTTCCAAGAATCTTGTATTTATTAAATACTTAACTGCATTAAGCAAAGAACACGGCGGAACTATTGGATGGACTAGTTGGGACAATAAAATACCGAAAGACGTAAATTTAATTTTAATATTATAACATTGTTATATTTCATATTTTGGCCACTAATTATAGTTTTAAATCTGGATAATTTCATAGGCTGACGATTCAAGTACGTAAATATTTTTATAGAATTTTTTCTCCAAAACAATATATTTATTATTAATAATACGAGTACAATTATTTTTTTAGCTGTGTGTAATTGGGTTATTAAGAAATTCAATTCTAATAGTACGGTTGATCTCAACATTATTGCAAAAAATTTTTATAATGGAAAATACTTTATTACTTTTCCCAATGGTATGTGCTTTAGAAATATTCAATAAACCTCCCTAATCAACTTGTTCAGTTCAAACCCTGAGCAAAGTACAACAAGTACTAGTTATCCGACATGTCTTATGTGAACACCGAACGATTTTTGTGTATGTTATTCGGCCACCTCCTAATACAATACACAAATTTTCATCTCCTCTTAAGAGGTGAATGAAAATTTGTGTATTTATATTAGGAGGAGGCCGAATAAGATGTCGGATAACAAGTACTTATGGATGATAAATCTATATTAAGACCAAAGTTTGAGCTTGTGTATAGGGAGATCTATTTATAACTTTGGTAAAGCGTTTAGGGTCCTTAAATACTTTAAATAAATGAACTACGATCTATCAAAATCTTGATTAATAGCCGTGAAGAAAAGTATAATTTTGTATAAATATATTTTTTTTAGCAGTCATTGACAAATTTGACAGATCACAGCTAGGCATGCCTTATTACAATTATGTTTAATGGTTTGTAACATGCCGATAATTTGTCAACTTTGGTTTTTCCATTGAAAACCACAAACAGTGCACAATAATAACAGTGGAAATTACGTGGTGGTTGGGTAGTTGATCAGAATCACGTAATAATCTACTGTCCCTAACGCTTAGCACTGTAGACTTAAAGGTTTTCCATCGTTTAATATCGATAACACATAACTGACATGACCCAAGTTTAGTGATTGGCGTCGTAATCATGTGATGCTAATTGTCACATGATAATATAAAAATCAACAATTAGATTGTTGATTTTAATATATTTTACCACGTGACAATTAGCATCACATGATTACGACGCCAATCACTACCAAAGTTGTCTGGTTGGATATTGCAAGTTAAGGACCCTATAGAACTAAGTCACAATTATTGGTTCATGTAATGACTACGTAATAGTACAGCGGTAATTAATATACTGCAAATGCTGAAATATGGTCATTTAATACTTAGATGTCATAACGTTTTTGAATGATCAATATATAGCACTCTTATTGCTATATTATCAATATCTTTAATTATCTTGTCACTATATACGTAGTTATTATATAAATTGCATAATTCTATATTTAGAATTTTATTTCTGTTATCACGACCTAGTATTCACTTGAGACCTTTATGATTCTTCCAGAACGAAACTTCTCGATTAGTTGTAATGTGCATGCCCTCAATCTTTTTGTCTTGGAGTATCAAAGTTTACAACCAAATAATCAAATGATTGAAATCTCAACTTCTAATACTGGTTCTATAAGAAAAGTCAAGTTGGAAGAGATAATTGTGACTGAAACAAATTTCCTAATCTCACAACGGCAAGAAGATGGTGCTTGGTTTGATAAATGGCATAAAAGTCCGGCTTACCCAACTTTCAAAGCAATAGAATTGCTATTATCCTTACAAGAACATCCGAACCTATGCGCCAAGTTAGGATTAATAAATGAATTATGTCGTAATTATTGCAGAAAATCAATCGACTGGGCATTAAGTACACAACATAATGATGGAAGTTGGGGTGAGCCATCGATTACAGGACCTGGAAATCTTGAAGAAACAAGCTATATTGTAAGGCTACTGAAGACTGCTTCAAATAATTGGTCGGATGATAAAGTGATTCAATCAGCATTATATAATGGTAGGAAATACCTTATTAAACATCTTGATGAATCAATTATGGATCAGGGATATTTTAATACAAAGCAACCATTTTTGTGGATTGGCAAACAATATTACACTGTTTCAAGAGTTATCAAATCATCTATTCTTGCATGCCTTTGGGAAGATTGAGAAAAAAAAACATAACTTTTTTTCTCTTAATTTTTCTTTGACTTATATTTTCTTACACGTCCTATCTACCAATTTGATTTATGTGATCATAAAATTTGTTTTATTAAGTTTTATTTTTTCTGTTACTCATATCATATCTTCGAATTGAGCAATTGCTAAAATAAAACTAATAAAAAAAATTAATTGAAAATTTTTATTTTACATCTAATATTGTATTTGAACTGAAATCATAAAAAATTTATGAATTCAGCCTTATAGAGTTCTCTAAAGTTATAATTGCATTATTTTAAAAGGATTTATTGCTTTCTTAAATTACGAATGGTTTGATATTCGATACATAATTAAGCATCATATGATTTTTATAGTATAATGTGATTTTTATAAAAAATAAAATATGCTGCTAATAAAACTTTTTACTGTTTTAATTATTTTTATAAAATTTTTAAATTATATAGATTAATATCTATTCTTTATAGTAGTAAAATTTTTAATAAATCAAATATTTAAAAAAATATACTTGTATATATTGTAAGGTTTCAGTAGTCAGTTCAAATTCTCCGGGTTACACAAAATCATTGATTTTTATTGGTCTATATCATATGATCATCATATGATTTTTATAAACAATTTATAATACTAAATATTTAAATACATATATTTCAATGAATATCTAACCGATTTTAATGATTTTACTACTGTTACAATTAGAAAGGCCTGTTCTACATCTTTTATTAGGAATTTAAAACAAGTTTACTTAATAAAAGTTTCTTTAATTTTAAAAGAAAAAATTTACTATTAGTTTTATATATAATTTGCAAATAGTATCTTCTACACTTAAATTAGAGTTGTTTATTGAATTAAGTATATAAACTAATAAATAATTAAATATAAATTTACAAAATTATAATCACTTTAAAATTAAATTTTCTTGTTAGATCTAAAAAGGTATACAGTAATTTAATGATAGTGTCTGTAGCCAACTATTATTTATCGACTTGACTAAGTTAATATTTAAAAATTGGCTTAGCCAGTTAAATCAGAGTCGATTAATTCAAGTTCTATTTAATCAAATTTCAGAAGTTATTATAGATTTTCTCAAATTTTTGTCTCAACCATGCTTGTTATAAAGAGGTTCAGGTGTTTGCAATCCAAATTTTGTTTTTATATATTGGTTTATTCTTTTATTTTTGTGTATTATTATTATGTTATTTTATTATTATTATTATTTATTACAAAGTTGGAACAGTATGCATTATTAAAATAAGAAATTCATACCTGTAGCAATTTGTCGCTGAGGCAAATTGCACCTAAGACAATTTGCACCTATTTATTTAGGCCAGGTACAATTTCGTACCAAATCAATTCTGTTATTCTAAATTTGTTAAAATAGAATATATTGGAATTGCAGAAGCTAGTATAAGACATTCATATACACAGTATTCGTCAAAAGTATTTAAAACACTTTTTTTGCTTTAATAAAAAAAAAACTTAGTAAGAGTTGGTAGAACTTATAAGAGTTTGACTCATAGTGTGCTGACTTTAAAATTTACTCCAATCTCTCTGATAAATCAAATTTGCATAGAGTTAGTAGTCTAAACCTGTGATTTTGAAGTAGAGCCTCATAACCTCTATTTGGCTCTAAAACTACTTCAAAATTCTACTGTATGTAATCAGGATCCAATTATATTTCAAGATCAGGTATTATATTACACAATTAAAAAAATTAAAAACTTGCTCATTTCTCAAAAATGGTATATCAATTCACCTTTTACATATTAACAAAAAGTTTTTCTTGAGTGATTTTACTATATAAATATTCAAATCCAAACTCTAACATAGATATTTGCCCTAACTATAACCTAGTATTTATATGAACCCAAACTAGTCTGAACCTTGGGTTAAGTTCAAGTTTGGTTCAAATTTGAACCAGACCTGAACCAGACTTATTTTTAAAAATACAGTCTGGCCTGAGTTCAATATTGAACTTTTAAACCAGGTTCAAGTTTAGTCTAGGTTTAGTTCAAAAGTTCATGAACTTGTTCGAGTTTAATGAATTTATGAATTGTTCATATAGGCTGGGCTTGGTGGTGCTTTCAAGTATCATTTCGATATAATTAGCAAGTAATTGCAATGGCACTCAAGCAAAATTATATTTATATAAAATTTTTATTGAGAATTTGAATATGTAATTTATGATGTCAATCATCATCTTCGAAGTGATTAATTAGTGATTATAATGGTACTCATTTAATAAAATCAGTTGAAATAAATATTGCAATCGATATTTGAGAGGTTTTTTTATTATTTGTCAAAAATAAAAAAATAAAAAAAACCCAAAATAAAAAACAAACACAACTGTTAAACAAGATAAAAATGCTATAAATTATCAAAAATATTCTGTTGAAGTATCAACTTCAGCAGCCCTTTTACTAACTTAAACTACAATATGTTATTCCAACAACAATATCCCGCCTATCCATTTTTTAAGAATCTATTAGGCTGTTTGAGTTAATTTTTCAGTTAACATTTCCCCTCCCCTTTGGTGGTACCCAGTAAAATGAACAAATAAAAAAAGTAAAATTAAAAAATACTGTATTATATCAAAATAATGCAATGAGATGTGGTTTCAAATTTTTGTCTAAATTAAGCTTAATTAAGCTTAATTTAGTCTGAAATAACTCCCTATATGCAATTTCGCAGTTATACAGCAGATATAAAAAAAATTATTTAAAATAAAATATTTAAAATGGAATAATTAAAATAAAATAATTTAATTTAAATCAAAATAAATTAAATTAAAAGTTTAAACTCTTGGCTTTTTATGGTCCTAGCTAAAAATATAAAAAAATAAAATTTTTTTTATAGCTGTTTTTATTATTTCTGGGAACCTATAAAAAATTAGCTGAAAATTTTTTTCGGCATAATAAATTTAGAGTTCCAATCCATTATCCATTTATCCATTTATCCATGGATATCCGGATATCAAATGGATAAATGGATAAAATG